ATATATATATATATATATATATATATATATATATATATATATATATATATATATATATATATATATATATATATATATATATATATATATATATATATACACATATATGATACCAGCAAATTAATGAGATTATCCAAAAATTAAAAGAGTAATTTGGAGCAGCATTTCCAGAGAAGGCAAGCTACATATGCAGCTGACCACCAAGTTTGGAATGAGAGAAAAAGTGCGATTCCAGAACTTCTGGATAAATTACAGGAGAGCAAAGATAGATTAAAACAGTGTATTACATCTCCAAACTCCACTACTGCTGCTGGTTTTGTTGCCAGCATGGAAAACTGTCCACAGATTGAACAGGTACCGCTCTGATGCAGGTATGTGAATTTTCTTCCATTTTTCCCCAAATCCTTAAAAAAAAAAATAACACCAAGGAACGCTGGAGACACAGAATATGGGAATTCAATGTCAGAGAGCACTGCTCTGATGGATGTCAGTTCCTGCTTGACTCCTCATGACTTAGTCAGCTCCTCCCAACAGAAACACATCCACCATAGAAAGTTTCCTTTATCATGTTTCTATGATGTCATCAATGCAACAAAACCTAAACCGTGCGGTAAAGTGCTGTGAAGCAGCGTGCAGTGATTTCCACGTGTTGAGAGCGTTCACTGCTCCTCCCTCACCTCATGCTATGTGACATTTGCTCCAGCATAAACATTTAATCATGAATGCTTTATATGCATTTAAACCCACCTCATCCTTTTTTATAGTTGGCTAATACGCTTAAAGCCCGTGTTGCCATACAAGGCTTATATACTGTAAGACTTTTACATTTTTGCGGCTCCAGACAGATTTGTTTTTTGGTCCAATATGGCTCTTTGAGCAGTTTGGGTTGCCAACCCCTGGTGTAGACCATACCGTGCAGCAGCAGAACAGCTCCTTCAGCAGCCGATGGTACTGGTAGTGGTAGTGGCAAGAGCTGGAGAGGATCTGGCATCGCTGTCACAAAATATGGTGCAGCTCTGACCCACGCCAAGCCAAATTCTCACTTGTTAAGCAAAAGGAAGTCAGTGCTCATACAACAACTACAAAAAAAAGAGGAAGAGTACAGATCTACCGAAGCGCAACCAAATATGGATAGCAAGCACTCAGTGGTAAGATTTATTTCTGAAATATAGGTATGTATAAATTATATATTTAAAATGAGCAAAAAATTTACATGGCTTCATCTAAGGTAGGATTTTTGAGTTATTGGCTTTCTTTTTCAAAACATTTTTACAGATGGGAAAACTCCCGGTTTCTTGGCAAGCACCACAAGTTCCCCAACTGGTATTGGACATAATCAATAATTCATTAAATAACTGTCTGAAGCCATTTTTATAAGTAAAATAATCCTGTTAATTTTTCCATACTTCTGAGATAACACAATGAGAGCTGAGCACAATACCATCCAGCTGTTTTGGATGCCATTGTTTATGTGGTCAGTCCAAATTAGACTCTGAATTTTTTGCCATTCATGATACTTGCTTTTAATCATAATTTCACTACGGTGGATGCTAAACATATTTTCCACCTCTCTGCCTGCACTTTTTTGCTCTCCTACCTGCAGTTTCCATTAGTAACCATGAAATAACATTGATCAGCAGGCTCAATTACACATTGATGTTCACGGGTGCTTATGAAACTTTTATGGAGGACTGTTGGATCGTAGAAGGCTGAACATGAGTTGGAGCGTTCTACGCAGCGCTTTAGGTACAGCTGTGATCTACAAGGAAAAAACACTTTGTGTTTGCACACACTTTTAAAAAAACTTTTTTTTTAATGCTCAATCCTATTTTCGTATCATTGTTGTACGCACACTTTTAGTGTGGATCCTACAGAATGTAAATAAAACCCCTGGTATATTTCAGGTTCTTGAATTGGTTTACGATATTAATGTAGGGAGTCAATCCAGAGACCAGTATCTTTCAGTAAAAAGCATTAAATGTTTTCAAAATTTCTCAGTGTACTTCCAAGATGTTCTATTGCCTTAGAAATACGCTCTTTAATTGGTTTTCTCAGGTATTTATATACTTCCAGTCTTGCTCCTTTCTGTGATTTCCATGGTAGGTCCCCAGGCCAGAGAAACTGTAGGACAGTATCTCAGCATGATTAAGAGTGTATGGTGGGTGTCAGTGTGTAGAGGGAGGAGAACTGCCTGGATAAAAGTGTTAAAAGAAGTCAGCCACACCTGACTGCAAGTAAAGTGCTTGCAGTCCATTTATTTTGACATGATGACAAGCAGGAGAAGGGTCCCTATAACATGCTCTGTTGAAGAAGACACATGTAGAATACATGCTGACATACCAAACATACTTCAAAGTGTTATAAGGGCATCATGTACTGGTTTCTGCTTCTGTACATGTCTTCAAAATGCTGACAAATGTGGCATCTGATTTTGCAATGTATTTCCTTGATGTGGAACATGTCATAAAAGAAATTAAATGATAGAAATAACCTTTAAAAAAATAAAAAGGTCCAGTGCAAACTATTTCGATGCTGATTTACACTATTGACCTTAGGGTCGATAGTGTACAGTAGCTCACTGATGTGTACATGTTAATCTGAATGACTTGCATTTACGTTCTTAAAATAAACTCCCCTGCTTGATGAGTGTTGGCTCCCTTACAGTGAGTTATCCTACCAAAGCAGAGAATCCATTTTTACTTCCGGTGTCTGTGGGGGTTTTATAGTGTGGATTTTGTTATTTGATGATAGCTGAGTGGGTTGTAGTAGTTAGATGATAGGTGAATTATTCTAAATCACTACATGTTCTCATTGAATTCACACCTACACAAATATCTACCTAAAAGTCATAACTTGCTTTTGTGCTCAAAGTACAATCACTGTTCACAATTGTCCCTTTTTTTGTGTGTGGGTGTGTGTGTATGATGTGTATGGTATCTTGCAAAACGCTATCAAGAGAGTACCACTGTTGACTTTTATATGTTTAATAAAATGTTTGCATTTTACTAAATCTCATGGCACAAGTACATTTCTCTTGAAAATGTAAAACTCATTACATTCTCATATGGCTGCAAGAACTGCTCTTACTACTTTTTCTCCATTTTATTTTCCTTTCATTAAACTGTTGCCTACATCAGAGTGATATAACATTGGCCTGTCTGAACACTACGGGTCCTTTAAGTCATTAGCAAGGAGTATTAATGAGCTGAGGGCTTAGAAGCCCCCCAAAGACTAAAGAGTGTATGATGTAGAGGGGATGAGGGCACTAATTCTCCAAAGTGCCCTAATAAATAGCGGATTAGCAAAGCCTTCTATTAGCCAAAGTCTTGATAAAGCTAAGCTAATTCTCTATAGCTAGACTAGGCAATGCAGCTAAAGCATTAGTTAGCACAACTGCTGTAATGTATAAGTAAAGGCTGGATCAAGTCTTTCATAGAAGCCCTCTGGCATAACCACTTCTGACATATAGAGGAATTCACGCTCACACACAGAACAGAAACTCACAATTTATGTAAATCAACAAGGGCAATTTCCTCCACTAGATCTCCAAAGGCATGTGTTTAATTATTAAGTTACTCTTGGAAAGATAATGAATCCTAAACTTATTGATTTTTAGCATGATTGCTGTGACTAACAAGTATTCTGTGAGTCGGTGATTTGTAATCATATATTGTTACACTTAAATTAATTCCTAACAATACAAACGTCAATAATGGCTGGTTAAATAGAAACACAATAAGCTCTTACTCATTAATCATCTACAGCCATGCCTAGGGAAATGGGTCTGGTATTAAAAAAAGAGGGATGATATTGTGTTCATACATACAGACATTCTTTCCACATTTCCAGGTTTCAGTAACACTTTGTGAGGGGATAGCTAAACCCACTACAACTTTTAAACATCCCAAGATATTTGTTGAATTTTTTATGAAAAAGTCAACAGCTAAGCTTATGAACATAAACCCTTTGCAAGTAATATAAATACAGGTTTAACATTCAGAAGCAACTTAAAAAACTGCTTCGGTTTAGCGTGGCGGTTGAGCAGGTGTTCAGTGCACGACTCATTTATGGAGGTTTTGATCCTCAATGTGCCTGTTATTGGTTTGAGTCTCTACCTGGCAAGCGTTGCCTCATGTCTTCTGGCTCTCTCTGATCTTGAATCTTGTCTGCATACTATCAATAATAACTTAAATGAAGGCCTTTAAAAAAAGTTGCTTCTGTTTACAGTGCCATTCTGAAACTGTATAGAAGCCCTTGATTGAAATTTGATTCAGTGAATGATCCAATATGAATTGATTTTTTTATTATTTATATTTTATTCCATGAGTAGTATTGAGGCATTTCCCACATACCATCCAATACATTTGGTTGCCATATTGTGCAAGATTTCCTTTACAGAAATAATATCTCTATTCAGAATCTTAATTAAATAATTTACTTAACTCTACCGGGTCTAGGGTATATGTGGGTATATATCCATACAGTATATTAAAGTATATTATAATAAGACAGTTATTTGGCATGATAGCTGAAGCTATGTCTACAAGAGAAACAAGACTAATCACCGGAAAAAAAAAAAGAGTAAACATAAAGCTAGTGGTTGAACTAACAAATACTGCAGAATTGGAGAATAGAAATTAAATGAAAGAGAAAGAAATGAAAGAGAAAAGTGGTTCCTATAACAGCCTAGTTATAGAGATAGCTCAGGATAATCTGAGCCACTCTAACTCTATTCTTTATCAAAAAGAAAACTTTTAAGCCTAGTCTTACAAGTAAACAGGTTATCTGCCTCGCAAACAAAAACTGATAGTTGGCTGCATAGGACAACCGGATAACTAAAAGTTCTGCTTCCCTTTCTACTTTTAGAAATTCTATAGCTCACTAGTAAATCTGCAGATTGAGGATGACGTGCTCCATTTTTATTTTGTATAGTTTTGCAGATGAATATTAAATAATCAAATTTTCTATCGTCTTCTCTCTCCATTTTTTTTTTTCTCAAGCTTGCGAGTTGATGAACCGTGGTATCCTGGCTCTGGTCAGCTCTATTGGCTGCATGTCAGCTGGTAGCCTTCAAACACTGGCTGATGCCATGCACATACCGCATCTCTATATCCAGCGCTCCCCAGTGGGTACACCCCGCTCAACCTGCCCACCTACCAGTCGAATACCTGGAGCTGACGACTACACTCTCATGGTACGCCCACCTGTGTTCCTCAATGAGGTCATCATGCAGGTGGTGTCTGAATACAGCTGGCAGAAGTTTGTCCTCTTCTATGATTCTGATTTTGGTAAGTCAATAAGTTATGTCTGCTTGTTTGTTTGTTTGTTTTTTTTTTCTTTCCTGTGCTATCCTCCTGCCCCCTATCAAAAGGGGAGACAGTGCAAGACCAATTATAACCAGAGCATATCAAAATGGGTCTAATTTATCAAGATGCTTTTGTGGGATTTTCTATTTTATTTACAGTAGTTCATTGGTATCAGCAACTTCCCTAAAGTGAAGGTTTCTGATAAATACATTATCAGCCATACAGTGAAGTCTAAAAACCTTTTTCCTGATCTACTCTCTCTCTCTTTTCCAAGCATTAACTCAGACAAAGGTTGATACTGTCATATGAACACATTTAGTCATAGAGAAAAGTGCCATACTTTTCTATTTCAGTGTCATGCCAATTCCCTGCTTGTGTGTATGATTTGTCATTCACCCTCCTTCTCCCTCTGGGTCACCATCTCTTTCCAGCCCATTAGCTCTAACATTAGGCTACAAACAGCCTATGTACCATTTATTATCTTGCCCCAGTACTAGTCAAAAACTTCAGATTACAAAATATAATTCTGTATTCTGTGTGTGACGCCTGTCCAAAGACCATACAGTATGTGTGTCAACAAATCATTTATATCTATCCGGCAAATTATGTCCTTTCTGACCTTAGACCTTCCAATATCAGACTTCAAGATTACACCTAGAACAAAGACAGTTAAACAGGAGACTTTCATGGTAAATGAAAGGCTATTTAAATATCAGTGCATCTGTAATGTCATCTGTTATATTTACCTATTTTAGTATTCCATTAGTAAAGTGGCTTACCTTAGATTTAGGGGCTTTAAGAGAGGTTGTTTTGTGAAAGCATGTCCAAACTTTGTAGGATGAAAAAAGCAAAACTACAAACCCAGTGCAAATAGAAATATAGAATTACCAGAAAAGCAGGTACAAACATTTCTCTAAGTGCTTTATTGAATATACAGATCATATGCTTATGAACAATACATGTACGATACTGGGAGGAGGTTAACATTCCAGTATCCATTTCGAGCTTGGCTCTTTAAGCCTTGGTCACGATCTCATTTTGTCGGGCCTTAAAAAATTGTATCAAGGCTGGTTCAAGACTTTGTGTGTGTGTAAAAATAATAGTGATAATAGCACAATCTCATTGTATGTGAATGAAACAATGAAACAAACATCACTCTAAATTGGATGTTGTGTTTGCTCATGATAAGTATGAAATGTCGGTGTGAGAAGTTTTACATTACCATGGAATTTGATTGTTTGATTATTTCAATTATTGTTACCATCATTGCTTTAACATAGCGAGCTTTTGCCATCTTGCTTTCACTGAGAACACACGTGCTGTCTTATCACCGAACAATGCCATCGTTTTGAAAATTATGGAATTTGCTTTTCAAAAATATGAGGAGGTTGAATAACAGGGAAAGACACTAGAAGGCGTGTAATTCTGTCAACCTCCAGGATTTAGCATATGTTAAGTAAGCAAGACTATCTTTAGTTTTAACATGAATTTACAGTGGAGACAAATTAAAAGTGTCTAATTTACTTGAACCTTCAGGTAAATGTGACAAATTCATGTGACAAAAAACAGAATTAATGAAAATACATGCATAACACACAATTTTAACACCTATCAGCTAAATAAAAAAACGCATAAACATCACCAACAGAATCGGATATGTAATCTATTTTCTGTGACGTTTGATGGACATGTTATATATATTTTGAGCAGACTAAAAAAAATTTGTCTCATTTAATCTGATTAGCACACTTGATCAAAGTTAATCAAAAGTATGTGTATTGATACTCCCAGGATATGTATTTTTGGAGCCGTTAGTTTTGTGGTGTCCATGGTTATGAGGACTTTATATATATATATAAATGTAAATATATATATATATATATATATATAGTGTCAGTACAAGTACCATGGAATCCCACAAGCAAATGGTAACCTCAAAGAACAATAAGTCTTGGGCAATAAATAGCTACGCTCTACCAGTAATCAGACAACCTACAGGAACAATAAGCTGCTAGAAGGATGAGATACAGGACAAAAAAGCTCCTAACCATACATGGATGGTATCACCCAAAATCCAGCACCCTCAGACTGTACGCTAGCTGTAAGGAAGGAGGCTGAGGACCAGTGAGCGTTAGAGCCACTATCCAGGATGAAACAATTAAGATGCAGAAGTTCATCAAGGACAAGGCTCCAACAGACAACATGTTCAGTGAATGTCTCAGAAAATGGGCAACAGAAGATGAGGTGCTTGAGGTTCCGTCATGGGAGGATAAGCCCCTACATGGGATGTACCACTCAAACATAACCGAAGTGGCGTATATCAGGAAATCCTACCAATAGCTAGACAAAGCCGAACCTAAGGACAGCACAGAGGCACTCATCATGGCTGCACAGGAGCAGGCCCTAAGCACCAGCGCAATAAAGGCCCAGATCTACCACACAAAAAAACGACCCCAGGTGCAGACTGTGCAAATAGGCCCCTGAGACAATCCAGCACATAACTGCAGGGTGTAAGATACTAGCAGGGAAAGCTTACATAGAATGCCAAAACCAAGTGGCTGGAATAGTGCACAGGACCATCTGTGCAGAGTATGGGCTGGAAACCCCACGGTTACAGTGGGAAACACCTCCAAATATGGTAGAAAATGACCAAGCCAAGATCCTGTGGGACTTCCAGATACAGACTGACGGAATGGTAATGGCAAAACAAACCGGACATTGTAGTGGTGGACAAAAAGCAGCAGAAAGCCATTGTGGTTGACATAACAATATCAAGTGATTGCAACAACAGGAGAAAGGCGCATGACAAACAAGAGAAATACCAGGGACTCAGAGATGAGCTGGAGAAAACCGGGAACCTGACTCCTTCACCAATCTGTTTTTCTTTTCTCTTAGTCAGAAAGAAAATCTGCTACCTTGTTCAGTTAAAGCAGGTGCTTCCTAGAGGAAGGCGTCTTAAATGGATACTCTTCAACTTTCAAAAAAAACATTTACTTTGCATATTATAGACCCTTTAACTATTTTTCTAATCTGATGAAATGCCAAACAAACCATACTTATAAAATAACTCCAAACAGGGATATCAGTCCCTTTCTTAGTTCATACAGTCTATGTGTGTTTCACGGTTTCTGTCACTGACTATATTTTTTATGAGCAACGTTTTTGTCTTTAAACTAAAATGACAAACATATTTAAGCCTAGATGTCTATATTCATAAATCACCATTATATATTAAAATATCTGATGAATATAATTTAATATTGTTGTCCACTTTACTAAAAATGTGAGCTATTATTATTGTTTTGATGTTCTAGCACAGGCCGTTACTTTTTTCTTTAATTATCAACATTTTAAAGTTATTTTCTGCACCTAATTATTTGATTAGCAATCCAAGTCTTGCCAATTAAATGTTTAAATGAAACAATGGCCTCTTGGAATATTTTAAAATTCAAAGTCTTCTTTAAATTAACATGGTATAAAAATAGAATAGAATAGAATAGAATAGAATAGAATAGAAAATCCTTTATTGTCCCACAATGGGGACATTCTGGTGTTTAGAGCAGCAAAAAGATTATAGAAACAAAATGGCCACACAAATATGGACCTTACAAAAATAAATAACATAATAGTGAAGAGTTAAAAGATAAACAATAAAACACTAATCTACACTGTAAATTGTTTCAACAATATAAAAAAAAACTGGAGAATAAATAACCAATATACAGCTATGGACAGTTTTACAGTAATGGATATTTTAAAATCGCAGCAAGACCAGAGATATGCAAAATGACAGCAGTGTGTTATTTAACTAAGGAAAAAAGTGTTATTGAAGTGACTTTATGATATTCAATGAAATTATCTCGGTGTTTTATCAAATTTGCCAAAGGAGTTAACCTCTTGGTTTAAATGTTCTGAAAGCTGGGCAGGTTGCCTTGGATACCATTTTGATGTGCCACCCCTGCTCTTCATCCCCTCGCTACCACCAGTACTTTAATCAGCTACAGTTGATTGAGGGTCTCTCCTCATGAACTTTACTGTAATTGTTCACCATGTTTTAATGGACAGTTTTTTCACATAGTTTGTGGGCTAACATCATATGAAAACTGAAAGAGAAAAGAGCAGATAACCTGTGTGTGCAGGCGCACAGGGGTTTAATTACCATCTCTACAGGAGGTACAGGATGTCCTTTGAAGGATGTCCTTTCTCTGGTAGGGGAGTGGCAAAGGGCTTGTGGTCTGGAAGAATTTTGATCCAACTAATGTTCAAAAAGAAATCCATTCATCTCATGGCTGTTTGGCACAAAACACCTTTTAGGTTAACCAGAATGATTTGAAAACTCAAGTTACCAATAAATAAATATAACTTTTTATATCTTTACAACTGAAAAATCTAACCAATGAGAATGTGATTGAATTTAGCCCTAACATGTTTGAGCCATATTGGTGAAAACAACTCTGTGCTAGTGCTTCAAATGTGTTGAAGCTTTCCAACACTTTTCATTTGAATCTCACTTGAATGACTGATTTAAGTGCTGCCTAATGGAAAATACTAACAGTAACGCCCCTCAAAAGTAGGACAGAATAATAGCCTACCTCAACGTTTTAGCTTTAAAGCAGTGTAATGTTTATCTGCCACAGTTGATTTCTCTTTTTATTGATTTCCCCCTTTTGCAATAATGAAAATTCATTTCACTTGCTGGGGTCAATTAGCACAATTAACACATTGCATGCATTTATCTCCTGTGGGATCTGTACATTGGATTTGTTAAGGAAAGCTTCTCCAGACTAAATCTCAAACCTTCCATACTTTAATGTTATACATCGATGTGAATTCATCTTTGAGAATGGAAATGGTTTAATTGTCAAACTCAGTGGAGGGTCAATGAACAATGGAGACCTTTTTGCTAAAAGGACACTTCTAAAGGGATTTATTTTAATGGATTATATTTTCAGCTAATATAGGGTGACCAGACGTCCTCTTTT